ATGCCTTGCCAGTTGTTTGCAGAATCTCCGTTTCACGACAGATAGCTAATGTGCAGTATCATGGTAGCGTATGTTTCGCACCAAAAGCAAAATATAACATTTAACGGTAAGACTCTTACTTAGGCCGCGTTCACACCAAACGCTGGGTATTGTAAACCTGTTTACTACAATTAGTTTCATGTAATGTACAGTGGTTTCACCTTAAATTTGCTTTCATCTGTACATCGGTTTTAATTACCTGTACATGAAAATTGTTCACATTAGTAAACAACATGTACACGTTATTCACATGTTCATTATATAGAATTAAATTGAAAATTTCTCTGTAGACCTAAGGTGTAGACCAATTCTAATTTGTTTTTCTATTTCTTTTATAGGGGATAGGGAAATACATTTGTTCCAGGAGGGAAGTGAGGAAGATTGTTTGATTTCTTGAAAATGAAGGGCGGTGGGATTGAACATTGAATTTTAAAAACGTTTCCATATGTTATTAGAAAAAAAACTTTTTTTTTTTATTAAAGTAATTTGAAAAAAAAATGGTTTGTCCCGCGAAGAAGAATGGTCGGTACATTAAGAAAATTGTTCGATTGATTTGGAGAACTTCTAGAGTTCTTAAGAAGTCTCGATTACGTTTTCTAAAACAGCGTAATAATAGGCAAAAACGGATTTTGAAAATGATTGATTGATTGATAAACGTCCAGTGGCAAATATTTCATGCATGTTTAGGACGAGAACAAATAAAATTCACAATAAATACAATAGGTAGGTCCTATAATAGAGGCCGCCCGAGATGAAGATGGACGTGGCAGAGTACTTGTACATCTCGCATAGCCAAACGGACGCCCCACTTTGGCAAGGGGTTTGCGGCCGATCGGAAGAATATCTAAGTGACTATATTTCTTTTACCCAGTCACACATTGGGTGATATTGGAAATGAATAGTCTGGACTGGTACTCACTGTAAATAAAAATAACCTTTTCCACGACATGATGAAAATGAATATTTTGTCCTACAAAATGCAGGACTTTGCAAGAAAAATTTGTGTACAAAAAGTGAAACTAATTTTCGCACTAACTTAATAAGCAGTACTATCAACCGGTGTAAAATGAATATTTTATCAGCAAAAAGTCCCCCTCCCACTGAGTTGAATGCTCCAATAAGGTTTTTAAGATAATCATGTTTAAAAGGGGTAATTTTTGAGTTTTTGTAATATAAATAGGAAAAAACTGAATTCATAGTATTATTATAATCAAATTTTTTCAATATATGTAACTTCCTTAATTATTCACAACAAAATCCACGTTCTTAACAAATAGAAAAAAATGATTGTATTTACACCCCAAAAACTATGCTGAGTGCAGACTAACCTGTGCAGTTGGAAAAGTTTTAAGGCCTGGCTTCTACTAGATATATAAAATTTAAGTGCATTTTGTGTTCAGAAGGTTAAAATCTTTTTTTGATTTTGATGGGCAATTTTTTTTAGTTTCTGCTGTTGGTGTAAAAATAAACAAACATCCGAATTACATTTAATACTGTCCACTCAGTTACGCCTTTTAAATCACCTATTTTTGTGGAGATACATATTGTCCTCAATTGTCCATGCCAATCAAGGACAATCAATACAATACAATACAGGTGTTACCTGAGAGGGAGCTTTTCAAAGATTTAACCCAACTTTGTTTATTTTTACAACTTCTGCATGAACAGAAAAAAAAATACCCATCAAAATAAAAAAAGATTTTATCTCTCTGAAACACAAAATGCATTTAACTTATATATATCTTCTGGATGCCAGGCCTTAAAACTTTTCTAACTGCACAGGTTAGTCTGTACTCAGAGTAGTTTTTGAGGTGGTACAGCAATTTTTGTCTATTTGTTATGATGAACCTTAATATCTTGTTTTATGAACACTTTAAGGTTCATCATAAGCTTTTCGCAAATATGGCCGTTTTTACACCACAAATTTCACTCTGAGTACAGACAAACCTGTGTACCTGGAAAAGTTTTAGAGCATGGCTGAACCTAGATAAATAAAATTTAAATGCATTTTAAGTTTCAGAATATTAAAAACTTAACTAGATTTTGCTATTCATTTTTTTTTCGTTCCTGCAGATGATATCAAAATAAACTAAGTTGGGAAAGAAGTTTGAGAAGCTCCCCTCATATAATACATGTTGTGAGTTGTATTGATTAAAATGGACAGTTTATTTTGCTATCTTCTGCAGACTGGAAAAAAATGCACATAAAAATCCAGGTAAGTTTTTAATTTTCTGAAGCATAAACTACATATAACTTTTATATATCTAGGTCCTGTCATGTCTTAAAACTTTCCTATATGCATCGGGTTGTCTGTACTCAGAGTAGATTTTGTGGTGTAAACACGGCCATATTTTTCAATTCCTTTAGATGAACATTAAATAACCCACATTTTTACCTATTACGTCTGTTTTTTTGTTCACACATAGTTGTGAATATAATGGAATTTATGCGACTGTCATACAAGTGAGAAGTTTAGCTAGCTATAAAACCAGGTTTAATCCACCATTTTCTACATAAGAAAATGCCTGTACCAAGTCAGGAATATGACAATTGTTATCCATTCGTTTGATGTGTTTGAGCTTTTTATTTTGCCATTTGACTACGGACTTTCCGTTTTGAATTTTCCTCGGAGTTCGGTATTTTTGTTATTTTACTTTTTTCCATACAAGTCCTACATTGTCTATCGACTGCATGCAGCCAAAACCTGTTTTAAACTACATGCAAGCATTGATTTTTATAAACGGGAACGTAATTGAGTTTAGTTTATGTGTAGAGTACACTTACACCAAACCGAGTTAAGTTCAATGTGAACACGGCCTTAGACTAGTACTTCTACCTGGACTCGATCATGTAAGATACACTTGTAATACACATATACACATAAATTAAGGCAACAGTAGTATACCGGTGTTCAAAAGTCATAAATCGATTGAGAAAAAACAAATCCGGGTTACAAACTAAAACATATTTGACGAATATGAATAAAAATCGGCTTTTACAAACAAGGAAAAAAACCTAAAAAGCTAAAAATATAAGGACAAGGTCGACAAGAAAATTTCATGATCGGATATGACAACAATGGCACTGCTTCCAACGCTGCATAGTCGCTGGTTATGGTTCGTGTGGACACGTTGGCCAAAATAGCTGCATTTTCACCTCAAAATTTACTCTACAGACAAACATGAGTATCTGGAAAATTTTTAAGGCAAAGCATGCTCTAGATAAATAAAATTTAGATGCATTTTATATTAAGCAAATTAAAAACTTAACTGGATTTTGCATGCAATTTTTTTCATTCCTCCAGAAGGTGCCAAAATAAATAAAGTTAGGAAAGAGGTTTGAGAACTCCCCCACAGGTAATAATTGAAGTAAACTGTATTGACTGACATGGACAATAGAGGGACAAAAGATACCTGACAATAATTGGTGATTTAAACTGTGTACCTGAGTCGACCATATCAAGTGAATCCCAACTGTTTGAAAATTTTTATCATCTTCTGTAGGGTAAAAAAAAAGGGCAAAGCAAAATCCAGTTAAGGTTTAAATTTTCTAAAACATAAAATGCATTTGAATTTTATATATCTTGGGCATGCTATGCCTTAAAACTTTCCAAGATGCTCAGGTAAGTCTGTACTCAGAGTAAATTTTCAGGTGAAAACGCAGCCATTTTAGACAAAGGGTCTACATGAATTATTTCTAACTACCAAGCTGATCTTTATATTAAAAGCTATTAACTTACACGTAAATTATTTCGAGCATCTTATACAAAAGAAGACACAAAAATTACCAGAAGTCGTGATGAAACGAATAACCATTGTTTAAGCATTTGCAAAAGAGAGGCAGAAGATACCGAAGAGATAGTCAATCTCATATCCTAGGTTCTAAGACAAAATGACATAACCATGACAAAAAACAAACAAAAAAATACGACTAAAAGACAAACAATAGTCTTCAAACACTGAAGACTGGGGTAACACGAACCCATACTCATAATTCAACTGAATAATAACCATAATCATTAAATAGTTATATATTCCGCTGCTGTACGATGGCTACAGTAACTGCGAGTGGTACAGTCGATAACCGGGAGTGACTGAACAATCAACGGCAATGATGTATCGTTATGATATCTGGGGTGCGTTCAATGTCGTAGCTGCTACGTAGGGCTACGTAGATCTTGACGACTGAATGTGTAGCTAGCCTAGCCGCTAAAAAGTTCTGATAGTTAAAAAAATGTATGCTATCTAGAGAAATCAAAATGGTGTCGGAAAGGTTATAACTCTTGCAGTCATTTTGATAGGCTAACTACGTAGCATATCGTTCAAAAAGAGAGGAGGAAGATACTAAAGAGACATTCAAACTCATAAGTCGAAAATAAACCGACAACGCCATGGCTAAAAAGGAAAAAGACCATCAGCCAAACAACAGTTTACAAAACACAACATAGAAAACTAAAGACTGAGCAACACGAACCCCACCAAAAACTGTCGATCTCAGGTGAGCAAATATTTCAACCCAAGTCAGAACAGTTGCTTTTCGTTCGTTCCGTTGGTTGATCAAGTCTAAAGTTTGCATTTGTCAGTTTTAATGCAATTCAAACTGTACATTGTTTTGTTATAAATTAGGCCATTAGTTTTCTAAGTTGAATTGTTTCATATTTTTCATGTCGAGGCCTTTTATAGCCGACAATACGGTATGGGTTTTTATCATTGTTGAAGGCCGTACGATTGCCTATAATTGTTTACATCCACTTCATTTGAACTTGGGTGTATAGTTGTCTCATTGACAATCATGCCACATCTTCTTATTTTTTATGTAGTCTGTAATTAGGTCGTCAGTAGGCAAACCATATGGGTTTGCAAAAGGCACTGACCATTCATATTTTGTATGTTTAAGGTTTAGGTCTTTCTATTAAAAAAATGTTTGATTCTGAATGTCTTAAAAAAATATCCATTCAGAAGGAAAGTAAATAAAAGTAGTTTGTTTTAATCCAAACTAAGTAAAACAAATAAAAACAAGATATCTATAGATTCTTGTTCCTGTATGAAAATGAATATTTATTTTTCCTGATTAACTCAATTCATGAGTTTGTTGCCAAAGTTTACCGGATCGTGATATTGGTAAACAATCAACACAGAGCATGTACAGCACGTCCGAAATCAGTGAATTGATATAGCCATTAATCTCTGATTTCATAAAAATATTTGCAAGACTAGACCTTTATCTATAAAAATTAAAAAGATAGTCAATTCAGATTTTATAAATAAAAGCTGTATCATAGAATGTATCCCTTCCCTCATCACTTATATAACTGGATACAACCATCATTCCTGTTTTGCTGTTTATATCTATTGCCCAAGGAGCTTTGATTTCATCAGCCCCTGATAGTATTTTCCTACTGCTTTTACCATCAGGTGATACTACCACGACACTGTTGTTCCCATGAGAAGCTATATAAACAAAGCCATTCTTGTCTAATGTAAGTCCTCCTGGTTCGACAATGTCTTCGGGCTGAAAGGTCCAGAAGGGTTCCCCGGTACTTTTCCAGCAGCAGATTTTGCTTTGAGAGGATGTGGTACCAGTGATATTTCCTTGGAATAATGAAATATAACATAGTTCCTTCACTCCTTTTTCGAAGATTGTTTGAGACATGTCGTCCAGATTTACTTTAGTAATTTTATAGTTATCACTGCTGATGATTAAATTCCTACCATCACTAGCTACTCCATAACAACAATGAGAAATTTCAACTTTTTGAATAATTGTTTTCCATTCAACATCCACCAGGCGTGCTTGGTTTGCTGATCCAAATATGACAGCCACTGTATTATTTCTGACGAAGCAAGCATCGATTGGATATTCTCTGAATGTAACTACTTTTTTCATAAATTTGCCATCATCACTAAAAAGCAGTAGTTGTTTTTTATTGTAATCAAGAATTATAACTTTATCATCAGGTAATACCAGACAGGCCATTATATTTAAAAACTTCATATTTTGGGGAATTGTCAGTCTTTTAAACAATTTTGGTTTAATTTGATCAATTACAGGAATACATTGGGCTTGATCTTTTTTTCCGGCCTTTAATTTGAGGGTAGAATAGGTGGCATTAATATGTATATCTCCAAATGATTTGACATCTTGTAAAATTGATTGAAGAGCAGATGAAATGTTAACCTCTAGATTCTTTTCAATGAAGTGGTCTCCACTTTCTAAATCTTCTATATATTTTGATGTTTGTGATGTAGTTTTCTTAATCTCTCTTAGACCAATATACTTTTGTAACTCAGTTGCATATTGTGTCATTTTGGTAAACTCGCTCTGGATTTGTTCTATCTTACTGAGTCGCTGTTCCATTTGTAGTACGATAGAGGCCATGTTTAATTTCAGCTCCGAATGATTAGAGTCCAAGTCATTGAGTATTTTTTGCTCTATTTTATTCAAGTAATCATCGATCAACTTCCTGAAATAGCGGATTTGCTCAAATGCTTCAGTTTTCTGAGTATCGATTGTACGGATCCTGGTTTTCAGGTATGTTATGGCTTTATCTAAGTCATCATTCACCTCCCTCAACTCGTTTTCGACAGATACTTTAACTTGCTTATCATTGTCTAAAAGCTGTTCCATGTCTCTACAGTTCTGGTGTTTATCAGTGATGCATTGGTCACAGCAGGGACATGCATGGAAAGAACAGAAACGTTCAAACTTCTTGTTGTGGTCTCTGCACGTACTGCTTATTTCTTGCATGACTATAGGTAACTTTTGATAATCTTGAGATGACATGGTTTTATGAATCATGGTCACTCTTAATTTTTTATGAGGTTTTTCACAGTCTCCACAAAAGAAAACCTCACATTCTTTGCACCACGTGACTGCTGCTTTCGAGATGTCATCATAATGACATATTGTACAAATGTGCTTGGCCGATGAAGACATTGTACTTTTATCTTTACTTCTGAAATGTATTAAAGTTATTTTGTCTTATCAAAAAACAAATATGCAGTTACATAGAATGGTTTTACCAAAGAATATCACACCGTATAAAGAAAGTAAAATTGGCAAATCAAACGTTATCAACTAACAGAACGCATGAAAAACAACTGTCATATTCCTGACTTGGTACAGGCATTTTTCAAAGACAATTGTGGGCTAAACCTATTGCATGGTTATTTTTGTCGCTGGTTTGCTGTCTCACAGATGTATATAGCCCGCTTCTTGTTTTATTCACACTTCTTTATTTCAAAAAAAAATATTAACTTTTTAAATAGTTTTGTTAGGTGACCGGCAAACTGCAAATGGGTCAGAATTTGTATTCTCTGTCAACAAATAGAAAAACACTTACAGTACTAACTAAGTGTATCGGTTTTACAGCTAGCTTAAGCTCCCACTTGCATGACAGTTGTTCTTAGTACCGTTATAATTACAATTTTGAGTGATCAACCCAAACAGACATATAGATGAATGTGACAATATTTAGGATCCAGTAGCCAAAACATTAATTACAGAGATACACCACAACTGACTAGAAAATTCAAACATACAAATAAATATAGCAAAGACAACTACTCGTATTTTGAAAAGTTTCTGTAAAATGTAAAATGTAACATAATTATTTTTATTTTTTTTTAAACTCGTCTGCACTTATCACATGCTTGGTAACTCTGTAGAAAGAAAGACCGTTAACTTGACTGTTGAACCTATTCAAACTAATTTTAATTACGATTAAGAGCTTGGCATATTGTAAAAACATTCTATTGTTAAAGACTGTTTGCTTGTTGGCTATTTTATAAGTTGTCTGGCTATCTCATTGATGGATGATATTACTCTCTCTCTCTCTCTCTCTCTCTCTCTCTCTCATATGTTACAGACAAAAAGGTGCAACAGATAGATGCAAAGTTTGGCCAATCTAACAAACTGTAAATTCTTCTGTTATCATAAGTACTTCCATTCATATTTTTCCTATGATGACCCTTAATAATGACTAAAAAGCCAATTGAAAAACTTGTAGATAATCAATCTCTGTAATCTCATAAATTAATTTTATTTGGCCTTTCAGCTGTGTTGATTTGAGCGCCATTGAGTCTTATGTAGACGAAATGCGCGGCTGTTGTACCAAATTAATCCTGGTATTTTTGATAATCTTTACAGATATCAATTAAAACAAATACATAGAAAAAAAGAGTGAAGATATTATCTTATTCAAATTTTGGACTGTCTAAATTAGTAATTAATGATAAGGAGTAAATTCTCCGGTTCCTCTGTTTTCCACCACTGTGAAATTGATTATGTTACAGCTTTCTGTTAAACAAAAGCAAGACTTCTTATTCTATGCAATTATGGACTGTTGCCAGAGTTATGTAAATGCTGAATTTTAAGTAATAAAACACATTTAATTGAATATTCTTACCATGAACTTTTTTTGACAGACAGGAATTTGCAGAGGGAAGTAAAATGTACAATATCTGGGACACCTAGCTAAAATTTAAATACTTTGTCTCACAAATTAAAAACATTAATGAAGCGTCACGTTTTTATACAAAAATTTTATATGCGTTGCAGAAATAAATTTAAATAATGTTAAAGTATTAATGTTTTGTTTGCAAACTAAGCAACTGTGCATAATGAAGTACAAATGTACTAGTAAATAAAAATGATTAAAACTTGTATTTTACAAAAGACTTACTTAAAACAATGAAGAGATTCTAAGGCGAGCATTAGGCGAAAAATCAATAGCAGTTTAAACGTGGGGATTATAGCTCTAGATGATAGTGAAACGAAAACTTTGCTTTTGAGGCTACAATTTGGAATGGATTGAGGCTGTGAGGACGTTGATACAAATTATAAATAAAAAAAAAATGGTTCTATAAATTCTCATGTCAAATTTTGCCCTGCACTAGTACAACCTACGTGAATGATATGTTGATGTGTGAATGTAACAACTTCGTTGTTGTGTGTAAATCACATTACATGAACTGCTTGAAAACGGAATCAGGTATTGACAATTCACTTAGAAACTCAACGTACTCCAACGACACTGAAATAAAAAAGAATCCTAGACAATCAAATGTCTGTTCTTATATTCCTTTAAAATTTCAACCAAAAATTTAAAACTGGATTTTCCTTCACTGTAATGGATATCAAAATTACAAAAAAAGTGTCCTTACAAACAAAGTTATATTACTGGGTCTGCCAAGTGCTACACGAAACCTCTTCCTATACCATTTACATCATTTTAATCAGCACTTAAACCGAATTTTAGAGTTGCTATGAAAGTACCTTCTCAAGAGGAGTTGTAAATCAAATGTGAATGCTAAAAATTCGAAATATCTGTTTTAGAACATACTATGTAATATTAAAGTAAGAAGATGTGGATTGATTACCAAAGAGAGAACTAGCAGCAAACGACAAACACTGAATTACATGCTACTGACATGGGGCAGGCACATACAGAATGTGTTGGGTGAAACAAGCTTGCGGATGCCCAACCCTCCCCTAACTTTGGACAGTGGTTAAACAGTACAACATAAGAACAATATATAATAATCAGTGGAAAAGGGTGTAAAACACTTAATAGAGGCCGAGATGAAACGATAATAAACGGTTTTTGTGTAGTCTAAGTATCCAATACATAGTATGGACCTTTAAATGTTCAGAGGAGTCCTTAAGCTGAGATGTGGTAATTATATGCTGATTTGAGCGCCACTGAGTCTTATGTAGACGAAATGCGCGGCTGTTTTACAAAATTAATCCTGGTATTTTTGATAATCCTTACAGATATCAATTAAAAACAAATACACAGAAAAAAAGAGTGAAGATATTATCTTATTCAAATTTTGGACTAAATGATAAAAAGGAGTAAATCCTCCGGTTCCTCTGTTTTCCACCACTGTGAAATTGATTATGTTTCAACTTTCTTGTTAAACAAAAACAAGACTTCTTATTCTATGCAATTATGGACTGTTGCCAGAGTTTAATAAATGCTGAATTTTAAGTAATAAAACACTGTATTTGAACAATTGAATTATTTGAATATTCTTACCATGAAATTTTTTACAGGCAGGAATTCGCAGAGGGAATTAAAATGTCGATATCTGGGACACCTAGCTAAAATTTTAATATTTTGTCTTAGCAATTGAAAACATTAATGAAGAGTCACGTTCGTTTACTCAAATTCTATATGCGTTGAGGAATTTTTAAAAAAGTGTTACAAGTATTGATATTTTGTTCGCTAACAAAGGAAATATGCATAATGAAGTACAAATGTACTAGTAAATAAAAATGTTTAAAACTTGTATTTTATAAAATACTTACTTATAACAATGAAGAAATTCTAAGATGAGCATTAATAAAAATAGCAGTTTAAACGTGGGGGATTATAGCTCTAGATGATAGTGAAACAACAATTTTTCTTTTGAGACTACAATTAGAATGGATAAAGGCTGTGAGGACGTTGATGCAAATTATAAATACAAAAATAAATGGTTCTATAAATTCTCATGTCAAATGTTGATATGCACTGGTACAACCTACGTGAAAAATATGTTGATATGTGAATGTAACAACTTCGTTTTTGTGTGTAAATCATATTCCATGAACTGCTTGAAAGCGGAATTAGGTATTGACAATTGATTTGGAAACTTGACGTACTCCAACGACACTTTAAAAAAGGAATCCTGGACAATCACATGTCTGTTCTTATATTTCTTTGAAATTTTAACTAAAGATTTAAATCTAAATCTTTACTGGCCTTTGTTAGTGTAGTATGTTTTTTAATTTTAGTTCATTTATATGTTTTGGAGTTTGGTGTGATGTCCATTTTCACTGAACTAGCACACAATTTTATTTAGAGGCCAGCTGAGGACCACCTCCGGGTGCGGGATTTTCTCGCTGCATTGAAGACCCATTGGTGGCCTTCGACGTTGTCTGCTCTTTGGTCAGGTTGTTGTCTCTTTGACATATTCCCCATTTCCATTCTCAATTTTATCTTTCTTCACTGTAATGGATATCAAAATTACAGAAGCGTCCTTTTAAACGAAATTATATTACTGGGTCTGCCAAGTGCTACACGAAACCTTTTTCTATACTTTTTACATCACTTTAATCAGCTTCAAAGCCGGATTTGAAAGTTACTGTTGAAGTACCTACTCAAGAGGAGTTGTAAATCAAATGTGGATGCTGAAAATTCGAAATATCTGTTTTAGTACATACTATCTAATATTAAAGTAAGAAAATTACAAATGAGACAACTAGCATCAAACGACAACCACTGAATTACATGCTACTGACGTGGGCAGGCACATAAATAATGTGGTGGGGTGAAACAGGCTTGCGGATGTCCAACCCTGCCTTAACTTGGGACAGTGGTTAAACAGTACAACATAAGAACAAGCTATAAAAATCGGTTGAAAAGGGATGAAAGATTAGTTGTAAAGCACTTACTAGAGGCCGAGATAAAACGATAGTTAACGGCTTTTGTGTTGTATAGGTAACCAATACATAGTATAGACCTTCAAATGTTCAAAAGAGGCCTTAAGCTGAGATGTGGTAATGATATGCTGATTTGAGCGCCACTGAGTTTTATGTAGACGACATGCTCGGCTGGTGTACCAAATTAGTCTTGGTATCTTTAAAAATCTTTACAGATATTCAAAACAAATACATAGAAAAAGAAGAGTGACTATATTATTTAATTCAAATTTTGGACTGTGTCTAAATTAACCATAAATGATAAGAAAGAGTAAATTCTCCGATTCCTCTGTTTTCCTTAATGTATTATGTTTCAACTTTCTGTTAAACAAAAGCAAGACTTCTTATTCTTTGCAATTATGGACTGTTGTCAGAGTTTTATAAATGCTGAATGTTAAGTAATAAAAAACGGTATTTGAACAATTTAATTATTTTAATGTTCTTACCATGAACTTTTTGACAGACAGGAATTTAGCAGAGGAAAGTAAATTGTTCAATATCTGGAACACCTAGCTACAATTTAAATACTTTATCTTAACAATTAAAAACATTGATTAAGCGTCACGTTTGTATACAACAATTTGTATGTGCGTTGCAGAAATTTAAAAAATGTTACAAGTATTGATTTTTTGTTTGCAAACAAAGCAAATGTGCATATTGAAGTATTTAAAAACGTTCACAATTTTTCAAAAGAAATATTTTTATCAGAAAATGGTTGGCAATTTTTATCGAAATGCCTTCATGTTTTTGTTATAAATGTATGAAGTGAGTTTTGCGATTAAAGTGCTTGTTGAAAACCTGGCTGAGCCTTTTTTAAGACGAAGAACAATGATAAAAGCGCGATTCTTTTGTTTTTGGTTTATAAAGTTTGTGTAACTATTTTGTGTCATGAATTAGTACATATTATCCTTTCCATTACATTGTTTTTGGCTGTGTTTGTGTTTCGTGCTGTTCTATAGGCGACAAAAAATTGCCGAGTCTTGATGTATACACTTACGCTTTTATAATTTTATAGTTACGGAGTCTTAATTCTTATGGTAACTTCCTTTATACGTAATATTTATTTTCTTCTAATTCGGTTTGTATTTTCATTGCAATTGTTATTTGGTAATATAATTCATCTACCTTCCTACCAAGATTTTTAAAAGACATTGAAATATACCTTTCCGTTTGATTTGTTGCTTTTTTTTCTTGTTTAACGGTTGAGAAGGTTTTTTGTAGATCTTTTTTTTAGTCATTTTAATGAAAATGGCAGCAAACTTAATTGGTTCTTATTTACTGATGTATTTAACTGTTTCGAATCCACACAGTGCTTTTATATTCCTTGTCAATACAATTAAACTTATTTCATTACATAAAAATACTACATATTTGTTAAGGAAATGTGTGTGAAATAGACTTGACCGATGAACATTTGTTATATGCATGTTTATATATATGCTATTTTAAGTGTATACAAATCCAGTAGCGTTTTTCATTCTCAATATTAGTTTTCGAAAATGTTTTCAAGTCTTTTTTGATCGGCGTGTTTTAGATACAGTATGATATCATAAGTTTTTTAATACTCGAGCTCATTACACGAATCCCTGATTTAATAACCGATGGTAGCGCTAAAAGTAATATTTTAATCAAATTATTCTCCGGCGCAGAGTTCATGTGCATTCCTTTCAGTACAACGTAACACTATTCAAAGTGAAAGCCCATATTAAGCTGTGGATTGTGGAACACGTAAGATTTATAACAAAATACGAGGCAGGAGATACCAGAGGCTCATTCAAAGCTCATAAGTCATAAGAGAAATGATAAAGCCATGAAAAAAAAAATGAAAAGCGAGGAAAAGACAAACAACTCTTACAAAACACTACATAGAAAACTAAACACTGAGGAACAGAAACACACAGGTGCTGAGGGACATGGCAATTTTGTTGTTGGCCCTCTCCCTTTTTCCAACATCCGTTTTTTTTCAACTAATTTTAATTATTTTCGTGTTTTTCAGTTTTAGAATTGTGTAAGTATACGACAAATATTATATGTTATTTGTTTACTGTCAATTGCTATTTTGCTATTCACAGCGGTCACTGATTATAAACCTCTTTAATAAAATATCTTTACTCAATCCACGGCTGTCATTCGGTTTATCGAGAAAAATGATCGTGAAAGAATACTTAACGGTGGTCAAGCATTGCGATCGGATCGTGAATGTAAAAATTAATTGTAACTCTACTTCAAAATCTGTAAAACAAAAACTGCTGTATTTTCAAAACGCAGAACAAATCCGAAAAAAAAAATATGTCTGTCAAAATGATTTAACTTTCTCAATAATACTGTGCAATAAGATTTAGAAAATATGCAGTACTTAACGAGAAAACACAAAAGGCGCAACACAAGTCTATGTGATTCATTAAAAAAAAGCCCGTTTTGTGTCTATAATGGTCACATTCCAATATTTAATGATCTATTTGAAACTGAATGTTTGGTGCGTCAGATGGTACAGTAAAATAAAAGTTTTTTCCCTTGATACCGTTCATTTTGTTTCTGAAAGCATTGAATTTTGTTGATTTTTTATCAAAATTTATCATGACAGATCGGGCAACTCATTATCTCGATCGTGAAAGACAAGGCGTGACCAGACGGACGCAGGACGTTTTCGCTTTTTTGCCTGTATAACTAAAGGAAATTTGCGCTTCAAACACTATATAGTGGAGCGGCTAATGTTGAAAAAGTCGCTTAGTTAACGAGTTTAAATTACCTAAATAACTCATGGAATTTTAATGTCTTAAATTGTCTATCGATTATTCAGCTTCAGAAAAATGTTTGTCGTAAATATCAAATGTGGTACAAATGACGTTAAAAACAGCCGTACCTGACGTTACCCAACTTGTGAATACCCTACTGCTGATTTGGTAGACAAATCTCACAACTAACTAAAAATAATTTGGGAACGAACTTGGTAAATACAGGTACTCTTGAACTTCATACACTATGAAGGCATTTTTAAGTAGTCCTATATGTCAAGCACAATGCATCTGAAAATGATTAAAAGTACCACTGAAAAATCTTCATTTTCCCTAGCATTATTTGCACGTGCAGTATAGGTGTATTTTAAAGGTACAACAGCAAAGCCGCCGTATAAAACTTCAATCGACCCGATTTACTTTTTGAAGTTAATTCGTAAGAAGATAAATATTTAGCTAATAATTACACCTTATATAAGAATGCCGGATTTTGATTGGTTGTTAGCCAGTGTATTTTTCGCATATTCTAATATTTTTTCATCATTTCAAACGAATTTGCCTATTTTTCACCACTGCCGGTGAATTTGCCTCAAATTCCCCTCTCTGCCGTGGTATTTGCCATTTTGGATATTCCTTTTTTACCCTCGCGAGCCAGTTCCCGCCAAAATTATTCGGAACCTTTCTCACTTTATCCCGACAACATGGTTAAGGTAGATAGGGTGTCTTCCTCCATCTTGGATTTTGAAATACCATAAAACAATCGGCCTAGATCATTAAGAAAATGTGCAAATTTTGAGAGTAGTAGGTAATTCATGTGTAAGAATTTTCATTTCAATACAGAAAATGACATGTTTTATCATATTTATGGATGTATTTTACAAAAAACAGAAAACTTTTGTTTTATTCAATTTTTTCCAACTTTGCCACATAAGGGGAGGCAACTCAAATGTAAGGGCAGATAATTCAGATAAAGTTATTTTTACAATAGAATGTGTTAGGAATTTACCTATTTTATTATGTAGCAAGAAAACGGGTCCGGTGGCCCCATTTTTTCTTTTTCTTATCTGAAAGCATAACATTTGAGCTATCTTCTCATATTTTATCTCAAAATTCTATGGTGTAGTTTTCGTT